TGGACCCCCCCTCGCCCAGTGTACTTACAGGTTACATCCTGCGCGCTTTCTTTCACGTTAACGTCAGTAGATGCACCATGTTTGTGCTGATTAGCTGGGCCTACCGCATGACCTGACCGGACTTTTAGGGGTCATTGCTTTATTTTCGTCACGACAGAATTACTCTGTCGGAATCATCACGCTATCAGATGGACCACACAAAAGCATAACATGGAGAACAGGTAAATCGTGTAGTTACATATCCCAATATGTGCGGGCTAACACTGGACTAACCTAATACGCTGGCTGGAACGGGTAAGGATTGTTTAACGATGGCAACAACACTTCCAGATCATGAAAGATGCTATTGAGGTGTTTGCTTTCTAATCGGCTGGCGTTTTCTTGCGCTTCACATCGATGTGTATTGATTCTTTCACCTTGGCCGTACAGCAAGGCGTAAGGAAAAAACGTCGATCGAACACATACCTGCCTAGCTAGGTAAAAGGGAAACTGATCGATTTTAGATTAAATTCTTGCATATGTAGTCGATGCTAATTACCAAATCGACGCCAGATAAGTCTTTCAAATAGCGCCTAATTACAAAAACCAAATATTCGTCCAGGTAACACTTGACCTCTCCATCCTCTTCCCATAACCTTACTTTTCAGGTTTCGTGACCGTCCCTGTGGGCAATCTTTACAGTCGTAACCCCGCCCAAACCTGGCTGACTCTCCAACCACCCACTACAGGTTCTACGGCAGTCTTCCATCCCCGCTTAAATCCGCCTACTGATGGCTCCGGGCCATTTCTGGTCGACAGCACCTACCTCTCCTCGGAGACCCCGGGCATTTCTAAGGGCAGTGGTGCCTATTCCAGCGACTCCCGTGTGAATCTCCAACTGCGCATCAACGCTCGCTATAAGTCCGTGGATGTCCTTCCTCTCAGTGTCTATTGGCCGCTGCACAGTGTAAGATTTCCACACATTGCCCCCCACAGTCCTTTCGCTGTTTCGGCCCTCTCATTAAATTTTAATCGAAATTTCAAAATGTATTTTAGATTGCAAAAGTTTAAAAGATAAATTGGCGAACATCCGTTTGCTTTCGATGAATACTCTTCAGGCCTGTAAACTTTTCCAGCAGCCAACACCCATGTACTGTTTTCGTCTATTCCCATCCTATACGAAGAACTAAAGGACAAACTGCCAACCGAGACCGTCTTTATGTGCATCTATTCGTTTACCTGCTCCCGTAGGGCAGATTATATTGGTCGCACGAGCCGGCGTTTGTCCGAAAGAGTGCGAGAACATCTTCCGGCATGGTTAGGGAAGGGCCAAATAAACAGCAATAACAGTTCCATTCTAGCGCACGTGGTAGACTTAGATCATCGTGTGGATGTCAGAGGCTTTCCGAGTGATCTATAAGGTGTTCTCAAGCTATTCAAAATTCCCTGGACAGCGTTTGTTGGCTACGGCAGAAGCGGCTACCATCAGGTTACGTGAACCGGTTCCGTGTGCTCAAGAAGGACTTAGCAAAGGCGCCACAGTTGCCATAACCGAAAGTCGCCAATTCAACTGCTCACAGCTTATTACCTTTCCGACGGCCAGTTCCCCTTGACGCTGATCAGATTACTGACCCTAATTTTGTTTGCTCCCCCTAAACCTGACAGCCGCACGCTTTTGTTTACCAACCCACGTATTTCATTTAGCTAATTACGATATAAATGCACAGGCTTGAGGAGAATTTATCGAAAACAAACGTATGCTCACCAATTTATCTTGGGAAAATTTTTAAATGGGAATTTTTGCAGCTATACATTTTTATTTACGTAGGTTAGTAATATTTTTTATGGTGCAGAATAATCCCCGATATTTCAGTCACCTCAGGATGCTAGATTTTGAAGAAGCACCTTTCCGATCGTTTGGAAAACTACTCTCGATAAAAAGTTACTACTTAAATAGTTTAAAATTTTCCATTTGGTTTTCGATATCCTTTTGAATTCACGTATATGTTACAGGAAAAATGAACAAAATACCCTTTCTTGTGCTTATTTGATACCAAATAATGGTTTCTTAGAATCGTGTAGCCGAAGAAAGAAAGTCTTTAAAGAAGTTTATAATTGTCAGATTTTTTAAGACAGTTAAATGTCTGTTTGTTTATTAATGCTGCTTTTAAAGTTTACAGCAGGGTTCGCGTCTACTGCAAAATTATCTGAACCCTATATGACATCTTTGCTATGGTGCATAGCAGTTTTGACTTGCTTTACACGAAAACATACAAATTGAAGTTTTTAAACCCTGAATGCAACGACAGATCGGGTTCGCGTCCGGGAATTGAGCCATTTCTTAAAATCTGAAATATATCCTATAGTCAAAATATAGAATAGGGGGAAGACATCATCTGTGACCAAATGAGTGCAAGAAAGGCTATTTACTGCAGGTTTTCAATAACAAGAACTTGAATTTGTAGCAGTATGGAATATAAATAGAGAAACTAATAGCACTCAAGTGGTCATTTTTCGCAGTCTATTTTTTGCATGTGGCTGGAAAGAAACTCACTCTGAAGCCGACATCCTGGCGTGATTGGAATACTTGGAACTTATCCTACACGATAATTAATATTAAATCAATGCATAAGGAAACTGTTGAAATTTAAAGCACAGTTTAAAATTTCCGTTAAAATTTCATCTACCATACGCTTTTGCCTCCCTACAATCGAACTAGTCTTTGCTAAAAATGACTGAAGCACAAGGCACAATGCGGTGATTATAGCGTTCATGTAACCGGTAACGGTTGCAAAAAGTTCACGGATGGGAGGCTATCATTTCCTTCAAATTCTGGACTTTATGCATGAAAAACGATTCGTTTATGGAGAGAGGCCATTACGCATTGCGCCGTATGAATATTTGAACATAATGCATGATCAGTTAGTGTTCCTAGAAGAGATTTACGCAGAAGCTTGCCTTAGAATATTTTTATAGGTTGTGAAAATCGCCGCAAACGATGTTTGAACGCGTGGTATTCTTAGGTTTAAAGAAGCAAAATCATTTTACTTGGCGGATTGAAGACTGTCAGTGTAAAATACTTAGATAGCGTACCTGTCCTATTTCCTGAAATGTTAAGGGAAATTACAAAATGCGTTTTCGATTAGACCGAATTATTTGCGTAGTTTGGGTTTTAACATTTAATATCATGCGGCATAATCCCGAGATATATCATTCATGACAGGATGGTGACTTTTAAATAAGCTTCTTTCAGTCCACTTTTAAAAAACCGCGCTCAATCCAAATTACTCCTTAAGTAGCGCGACTTTTCAAACCAGTTTCCGATGTCCTTATAAATTCAAAACATGTTTCTTACATCTTCAATTTTTAAACTTGAAGAAGAGGTTTATTTCGATTTAGAAAAAAGGTTACAACAGTGAGACTTTATAAGGCCGTGCAATGTCTATTCATACAACGTCGCACCAGTTCGTTTTTAATGTCGCTTCTGAAGTATACTGTATGGTCCACATCCATTACAACATTTTATGTACCCTATATGACACCTTTTAATAGCATAAGAAATATCTGCTACTTTTTTACGGAGAGTATTTAGCTGCAGTTTAGAATTCCCAAGCGCATCGGGTTAAAAATTATTTCCAAGTTGTAAAAAAAACATTTAAAACTGCAAGATGCTCTTTTCTCGAATATAACACTTGAGGTAGGCTTGCTTTTATACCAAACTGACTACCAATCAGGTCTCACCCCGTATAAATATTGATTTTCCGCACGTTTGGAATGTTACATGTTCATTGCACATTGCCTGTTAGTCCGAAGACAAGCTGGGGCAATAGACTCAAAAATTTACTAACTAAAGTTACGTTTTATCCCAAAGAACAAATTCTTCTAATGCGTGTTTTTCAGTTTATACGAAAGAAACGTTTGTGCATATTTTCTACAAAGTATATTTGAATTAATAAAAGTATTAACAATAGGTATTAAGAAAGAACGCTACTTAAGTAGCCATTTTACAGAATATTTTCCCTGGCGATTGGAAAGAAGCCCATTCTAAAGCTGGCACCCTGTCGTGACTGAAATATTTTGGGAGTATGCTGCGTGGTAATCAATATTACACCGACCTTAAGTAATATTTTATAATAAAGACTATATTTCAGAATTTCAGTTAATAGTTTCTGAAATCGGCTAACTACCGTATGTACTGAAGAACTGACGTATTGTATAGCATGATTACAAAACATGCTTGTCTTAACTATACTTAACCATATGCTGAATCCAACAAACGATTTGACAATTTACGTCTTACGTCCTGAAATACAAATTTTTCGAACGCTGTTATGTTTCCGCAAAAGGTATCTTTGTTGGATCTTCAGAGAGCTACAGACACCAATCGCTGCCGTCGTGTCACGGCTTTCTTCCATAGGCGACC